TTGAGAAAATATCGTTTCTTCGTTTTATTATTATCCGCAGGTTAAAATTCTTTTTATGTAAGATAATGACTACTAGACACCATGGCTCCAAGTAATAAACTTCAGTATATTATCGGTTAAGTTTTTTTTCAAAGCATAGCAAGACAGTACACTCGAGACACTTAAACAACTCATCTCATTCAGCGAATAACACTGAAGTTTCTCAACCCAAAACGACCGGACAAGGTAAAAAAATGAGACTGAAAATTCACGCTCCTTTGCACGCACCGTCCGCAGCCTTCGAGGAGCAGGCTGGTTGTCCGTACAGGTTTTTGAAAACCTAAGGCAATTCTAAGTTCTAAGGGTGTGTTAAGGTGATTCCTCAGGACTGCACGGCGTATCCTCTACTGTCCATAATCAAGTAATCAGGCGAATTAGCGCGCGCGCATTCCGAGAACATGGTATTGTTTTTCACTCAATAGACCAGGCAAAGAGGTACGATAGTCTTTCGCTCTTGAACGAGCACGGTGACCTATATTTTTGGCATAATTTTGGTGTACAATTTAACTCCAATAAATTGGGGAAATTAAAAAAAATTATTCGAAGGGAAGAAAAGATAAAGCTAAAAGTGTGTACGAAGGCCGTTACTCGAGGATACAAATTATGACTTTGAAAGCACTGATTCGAGGAACGTTTTAAGTCAATCTTGTTTAATCTTTGCGCGATTTTCCCACAAATCATATATAAAATTGTTCAATACGCTCGAAACTTTTAACCCATCAAGTTTTTTTCAAGTATTACTTTAAAAACTCTTGCTACCAGCTGCATCAAAATGTACCGTGAACCAAAGAAATGACGCGTGTGATTCCAGCACAGGCATAAATGGGGTAAGTTTGGCGCATTATTTCTCCTAAACGAGCACGGTGACCTGTCTCTTTTATTGTATTTTTCGACACAGACATTGGTGAGGAACGTTTAGGAAATTTTTTGAAAATTGTGCGATAACTTCTCTTTCTGAGGAATCACTCTAACCCTTCAAGGGAATATTAGCAGTACTGTATTTTTAATTGCTCTGTGCCCCCAAAACTATAGCCTACCTGGTCCTTAGGGTGGCTACATCAGGATCAATGCTAATGTCTCGTAAACGAGCGAGAAACCACGAATTTTTCCGTTGACTGAACCTTTACGTCACTTTCAAGTTGGCTCCACAAACTTCCGGTCGAAGTCTTGTTCATGCGCATTGACACGTAAATTTCACATTTCCGGTCCCGACGTCCACTCTGTTGCGGTTGAAAATTTAAGCCACGTAAGTTGATGCCTGATGGTCGAACAATCGCTGTCTTGTCTTTATTTATGTGAGGTAGTAAGAGAAGCAGCAAAACTGAAAATCTGCGTACATATTCGACGGAAAAGGAATGCCTGTACCGAATACTCCAAACGTGGTTCTTAACTTTCTTCTTCGCCGGGCTAAATTTTGTTGTCATGGGAGAACTTTTTCTACACTAGACAAAAGAACGATCAGGTCTTCTCACATGAACAGTGCAAATGGAATTGCGTTTCGATCTGAGTTAAAAAGAAAAGCAAAAAGGGTCGTGGTTAAGCTTGGATCAGCTGTTATCACTAGAGATGACGAATGTGGTGTCGCTCTCGGAAGACTTGCCTCTATCGTTGAACAAGTAAGGCGCCAAATTAAATTTATTATAACAGTTGTTTCCAACTGGGTTATGAGTGCCGACAAATAAATGTACCTGTTAAGCTACTAGGATACTTCTCCTTGTAATTCATAATTGCGATCCAAGGCTGATTGCCCTCTGTTTAAGACTGTAATATTTCATCCTCATTTTAACTCTCTATCGTTTCGTTCGATCCCGAAAACATCACGCTTTGTGTTACTATAATTACACTCGCACACGTGTGTTTACTGGACCCAACCCCCAAGAACATAATTTCCATATTAAGTCATATAGGGGTCAAAATCTTTAAAGGAAAGGATAGAGCTAACCAAGAATATGACAAGAAATATTGGGTTCAATTTCTTTGAGCCATGATTTTTAACCCTCCCGCTTTCTCTCTTGTTTTAAAAGTCTCTGTAAGTTATTTCAAGTATTAAGTTATTGAGAGTATTTACCTCGAAGACGTCGTGTGGGGTTTAGATGTCAGTATAGTGGCTGAGTTTTTTTCTTGGTTTTAGTGCACCAATTCAATGACTATCAAAAGCCAGAAAAGAAAAACCCAATTAGTTCGCAATGTTAACCAAAGATTTAAGTATTTATTTCTTAGCCAAAAGATTCTGGCAAAAATTTTGCTCTGTTGCAAGGTTAATTCATTGGACTTTTTTTTAGCTTCCTTTGTTTTTAATTCCTCCAATGCTTGTAGTTACTTTATTTTGTCACTCTACTTTTATGCAGTCTGCATAAATACATTCTGATAAAAAAAAATTGTCTAGAAATCATCTTAGCACAGGTTGAAAATACAATATAAATTTCATGCAGACTATATGTTGTATTTTATATGAGGCAATTTTTTATTCTTAGCTAAAGCAAGTGGCAATTTCTGCTAGGCAAGATTTGTCTCACCTTCATATATCTTTCAGTTAGTATGTGCACTATGATTGGTCAATTTAGTAGGCCATATTTCACTGTGCCTGCTTCATTCAAATTTGTTGTCTGAATTTAAAGGTTGTAATCTCAGGATCTCAGAGAATTCAGGATTTCAAGGGTCAAAGGACATTAGGGACAGTGATTTTGATATATGAACTGTGACCAAAAGTATAATGCCTCAGTATAACATTTCTGATGTACTCTGTTATCAAACAATCAGTCACAAAAGCACTTCTTTTAATTCATATTTTATGCTAAAAAGCACTTACAAATTATAGATATGCTATATGGTGTAAGAAAAAGGGAATAAAAGTCTAAATATTGAGCTTCTGTCCACTTTTTGCTAAACATTTCTGCCTGTGTCCCTTATTTTCAAAACAGTTCTAAGGCTTGTCATCAGTTCTATTTTGAATGCCAACATTTAGTTCAGGCTTTAATTCACTTACAATACATTTGAAAATCATGGGGAGTGCACCTGTATAAGAGAAAAGGCAAATGCTTGCCTGATAAGGAAGTGATAGCACAGTTCTTAAATCCTAGAAGGTGAAGCACTCAATAGGGCCAGCTGTTTTTCCTGTGCCATGAAAGTCCTTTTCATATATCAGGCTTATCACTGATAATTTCACACCTGTTTTGAGAAAAAAAAACATCTTAAATGACTCACCATAAACAATGAAGATAAGTCACCCTTGCAGATGAGCCACACCCTGAGTGCAGCAACTCAAATATTTGAAACGTTTGTTAACAAAAATCAATAGAAATTAAAGGAGTTGTTTTATGTTGGTTCTTTCATGGCACTTGCTCCCTTGTAAACCTACTAACATTGAAAACAGCAAAATACTTTGAATCCTCACCAATAATTATGGTTGTAAGAGTATGGACATTATATCTACCAACCTAGACTCATTTATAAATTTTACATAAAACAACAGGAAATCTTAAGGTTTTTCCTTTTTTGTTGGCTCATTCATAGTATAGAAACCAGGTATTTGTTTTAGACTTTAAATTGTTGATAAATAGTATAGATTTATATGTAAATTGGAGCACATTTTCCATAATTTCTCACCCTTGATTTTCCTGGAAAACTAATTTAAGTAATGCCATGAAAACTATCCACCAGTATTTTGGGTAATCAATATCATCCTGCTTCTTGAGTACTGATTGCCTTAGGCTTTGGAAACATCTTGAGATTGATAAATCTATAAGGTCTGAATGTCTCACTGGTGTTATTTTTATCTGAATTTTTTTTCAATTAATTTATGTACGTTGTTATTCCTACCTTTCAGGTGTCTGAGTTACAGAATAGTGGTAGGCAAATGCTTCTGGTTACAAGTGGTGCTGTAGCTTTTGGCAAACAAAAACTTCGACATGAGATACTTCTCTCTCAGAGTGTTCGACAAACACTCAAGCCACAAGATGTCCTGAAGGTACTGTATTTCACAACACCTATAAAGTTGATGCCCAGATAAGTATACCCTTAAAAAGCACCCTTGTGGCAAATTATGTTAACCCTTTAAGTTTCCCAGATCAAATTTGTAATTCTCCTTACTTTCAACCATACAATTCTTATAATGCCTGAGAGTGAGAGTATACTATTGGATCAACTAATTATCCCAAAATTGATATTTATCTTTATTCTCATCACTTATCTGGTTGATATTGTATTGATATTGTAAGGAGAAATTGTGTCTTGGTCACTCTTGAGAGTTAAAGAGTTTAAACTCCCAGTCTATGAATGTTGAAAGTTCAGCTTGAATTTTCCAACGTTAACTTTTGCAGTCTGTATTATTTATCCTTATTATCCTTAAGCAACCTCATTTTCACAAGCTATGTTTAACCTCGTTCATTGTTTGCATGTTTCTGTTGTACTGGGGTCACAAGTTTTGAGCCCCAGACCTGACCAACACACAGGGTCTTGAAGTAAGTATTAACTCTTTTCATCCTAAGAGTGACCAGCATCTAGTTTCTCCTGACAATAACACTGCTGAATCATTCATTTTAAATCATGAGAATTAAGGAAATTGTCATAAATTAAAGAAGCTCTTGATTGTTAAACAAATTCTCCTCATCAGCACCTTAGGAAATGTATAGATAGCAGTATGAGAGAATGTGCATACTGATGTTAGGTTGTAAAGGGTTAACCCTTTAGCTCCCATGAGTGACCAAGACAGAATTTCTCATTACAATATCAACACAATGTCAACCAGATAAGTGATGAGAATAAAGAAAAATATCAATTTGGGCATAATTAGTTGTCCTAATACTTATTTCTCTGAACTAACATTGTATAGTTGACAGTAACAAGAATTACAAATGTGATCTGGGAGTTAAAGGGTTAAGGAGAATTTGTGCTACCTTTGTTATGACATCTGCAAATAGTTCGTCTTCTCAAATAACAATGAAAAAAAGTTGGATCCCTATCCTGCATCTTTTTTATATGCATTAGGGATGCTAACCAACCCAAGCTCTTCTTGCAAAAAGTAGGGAGTGTAGCTCAATCTCAGTATTGTGGTTTGGCCTTGTTTCTAAACATTTCGAAATTAAGGGAGAATGTGCTATATAAATGCATCTTTATCATTCCAGTTATCATTATCTATATCATTATAAATGAGCCCCATCTAGGGGAATCATCTGATGTGCAAACTCAAAATAATTCAAATTAATAATAATTTTGTACCAATACAATCACTCTCTGCTTGACAATGACAATCTGTACAAAGATAGATCTTCAAAATGTACAGAGACAGGAAATAATGTACAGAACAGTATTTTGTTACCATTAGCCTTATCATTACCTTCATATAGTGTACTCAGTTAGCGATACTGTGTTCTTGTAGTCAAGGCCTTATATTGAACCAAGAGCATGTGCAGCTGTAGGTCAGGGAGGATTGTTGTCACTCTATGAAGCCATGTTTCAGCAGTATGGCCTGACTTGTGGACAGGTATGTTTAAAGATTATTGCAAGAGATTATTTTGCTTCAAAATTCAAACCTAGTGGTATTTAGGTGATTCTCCGATGTGATACACAATGGAAATAATTAGGGATCTCTGAGCACACAAATCATAATTTCATTTTCTTTTGTCATAAGTTAAAGCAAAATAACAGGTACAAGGAGCACATTGTATACCCTTATTGTCAATGTCTTTCATTTCATTTCATTATTCCTTGTGTGGAGTGTTTTAATGGTCTCTCAATCTTAACTGATCTACATAAATTTTTCAAGATCTTGCACCACAAAGTCAGGTGCAATAAGCAGTAAAATCACCAGTATGGCTGATTGGTTAAGCTCCTCAAATTTCACAAAGCACCTTTTGAGTTAAAGACAAGGAATTGTGGTTTACTAATTTCAGTTCTGAAAAAA